GGGGGTCGGCGTGGGCCTGCTGGTGCCCGGGTGGCTAGATGATATGATATTTTCGTGCTCCTCTATTTTATTAAAAATAAACTATGTTCTTCCGCTCGCTGCTGGTCCCTGTGCGCTGAGAGGGAAGAGAGGAAACTTTCTCGCTCTGTCCGGGTTCCCAGTGAAGGCTGAGTGTGGTCTCCGCTAGAGGTCACGGCTCATCCATAGAGGTCACGCCTCATCCCTGGGACCTGGCAGATGGGCAGAGCCTGAGGGAGGGGCAGTGACTTTTATTTTACTTTAATACGTATATTTTATATCGATTTCAGAGCAGGAGGGAGAGGGAGAGAGAGAGAGACAGAAACATCGATGATGAGAGAGAGTCATGGACCGGCTGCCTCCTGCACGCCCCACACTGGGGATGGAGCCTGCAACTCGGGCCTGGGCCCTTGACCGGGATCGAACCCTGACCTCCTGGTTCCTAGGTCGACGCTCAACCCCTGGGCCACGTGGGCCGGGCCCTGAGCAGGGTGTTTAGGAATTAAGGCCGGTGCCGGAGACCACCCTCACCCTAACAGCACCAGAGCTGGGCAGAGGGGCTGGGCGCCGCCTGTCGGGCCTGTGAATGAGTGTCTGGCAGGGCGAGGGGGGCAGCTGCTTGGGGTCCAGTTCCACAGGCAAAGTAATTTAAGGTCAAATGCAGACTAGCCTTCCATGCATTAAAAACCAACGAGAAAAGTGCATTTAAACACCTACAAGGGCCTTAGCCGGTGTGGCTCAGTGGGCAGAGAGCGGGACTGTGGACTGAAGGGTCCCGGGTTCGATTCTGGTCCAGGGCACGTACCTCGGTCGCAGGCTCGACCCCCAGCCCTGGTTGGGCCAAGTGGGGGCAACCCATCGATGTGTCTCCTCTCTCTGTGTCTCTACCCCCCCCTCCACTTTCCCTAAAGATCAACGGGGGGAATATCCTGGGGTGAGGATGAACAACCATAGTCAGAGCAGGGCTGGGAGCCCCAAAGCTGGGATCCGACCCCAAACCCTCGGCTCTAAAGTCGGCCGCTTCCCACGGCAGGTGCGCGGCTTCCACCAAGGTCCCGAGGAAAGCGCGGCGTCGGCAAACACGAGAGCCGGCCCTGGTCTGGGTGGGTGTTGGTGGGTCCGCAGAGGAAGCAGTGACCTTGCCCGCAGAGGTCAGGGGAGGTCAGCCGGCCCCTCTCTGCCCCGGGGAGCTCGGGCCTCAGCAGAGACTCCCGGACACGCGGCCCCCAGAGCGCTCTCTCCTGGCACTGGGGTCCCCCCACCCCCGGGTCACAGACAGAGGCGGACAGTGGATTTTAGGAGCCTCATCAAGACTTAAAAGTTAGGCCAGGCTGGAGGGGCTCAGGGGTTGAGCATGGACCTCTGAACCAGGAGGTCAGGGTTCGATTCCAGGTCAGGGCACAGGCCCGGGTTTCGGGCTCCATCCCCAGTGTGGGGCATACAGGGGGCAGCCGATCCGTGATCCTCTCTCATCATTGGTGTTTCTCTCTCTCTCCCTCTCCCTTCCTCTCTGAAACCAATAAAAATATATTTAGAAAGAAAGAAAAGAAAGACAGAAAGGGCTCCCACAGACCACCCTTGAAACACACCCACCTCCGTCCATCCCACCCGCAAGGACCTGAGGGCAGTGGCCTCAGGGAGCCGGGACCCGGGACCGAGGGCTCTCAGCTGGTCCCTGACCACAGGTGGTCCCTCGAACGTCTGTTCTGAGGAGCACCTTGGGGCACGTTAGGGAAGATTTGCCCTGAAAATAAAAAATAAAAAACGCACAGAACGCCACCTTGGAACCTCTCCTGACAGCATCTCCCGTGTCTGAGGCGGAACTACAAAGTGATGGGCCCTGACAGGCGGTAAATCAGCGTCCGCCTTGAAAGGGGGCGAAGCGATTATGAGGTGCAGGTGCCGCCTTTGATCCCCAGTGACAAGCTCCTGGGGCTGGTGCCACTGTCCCCCCACCCCCTCCCCCCAGCAGGGCCACACCTGGGGCCCCCCGGGGCCTGAACACATGGTTCATTAACAACCTGCTTTTCTTTCTGCAGCTCAGGGGAGGCACCTACTGAGGTTGTAACATTGTGTCCACATCACCCGGGTGGCCCTGAGGTTGTAACATTGTGTCCATATCACCCGGGTGGCCCTGAGGTTGTAACATTGTGTCCATATCACCCGGGTGGCCCAGTCTGAGCTAAATGCAGCCGAAACTTTGTTGCTACTTTTTTTTTCTTTAACAGACTTTCTCTAAGTATCGGGAAAAGCAGTGCCAACCTGCCGTCCACACGTGGCACAGAGAGAAGGAAGCGTGAGAGGTGTAGGGAGACCGTGTGATTCTAATTTGCCCCAATGAGAAAGATAGAGAAAAAGTCTGTTATAAAATTCGTCATTTTGCTATGGGTATTGTGGTTGCAACCATTTTATTTTTTTAAATCAATACAATGCGAGCCCTGGCCGGTTTGGCTCGGTGGATAGTGTCAGCCTGCGGACCCAAAGGTGCCAGGTTCGATTCCGGTCAAGGGCACGTGCCTCGATTGCAGGCTCCTCCCCGGCCCAGGTTCTGGTTGGGGCACGTGCAGGAGGCAACCAATCGATGTGTTTCTCTCACATCGATGTTTCTCTCTGTCTCTCCCTCTCTCTTCCACTCTCTCTAAAATCAATGGGAAAATATCCTTGGGTGAGGATGAAAAAAAATAACCTATATATATAAAAGCCTAAGCGACGTTATGACACACACTGACCACCAGGGGGCAGACGCTCAACGCAGGAGCTGCCCCCTGGTGGTCAGTGCGGTCCCACAGCCAACCTCCCGCGGTCCCTCCCCCCGGCCGGCCAGCACCGATCGCCCGGATCGGCTCTGATCGCAGGCCAGGCCGAGGGACCCCACCTGTGCATGAATTCGTGCACCGGGCCTCTAGTAATAAAATAAAATAAATACAATGCACTCCTGCAGCAATGCATAGAGTCACATCTCTTGGGTAAACAGAACGCACTAGAGAAAAAGGAAATGAGAGAGAGAAAGCATCCAACAAGACCTTTAGAGCCAGCGGGCGTGGCTGCCATTGAGCGTCCACCTACGAACCAGGAGGTCACGGTTCCATTCCCAGTCAGGGCAGGGGGTGAGCGCTTACACGACGCTCACAAAGGGACAGAGCGGGCACCCTCTCCTCCCTCCTCCCGCCAGGGGTGCCCATCTTCCGCTTCCCTGTCGTTTGAGCTGCACCGTCCTCGCCCCCGTGGGCACCGCCTCTCCCCAGAGGACCTCCCCCAGGAACCGGGTGGCCCAGGAGGCGGCTGTGAAATGCGCCGACGGGTCTGGAGCCACCGGAGGCCCCAGCCTGGTCGCCGGGCCGCCGGGGACACCGGGGACACC